ATGACCCACGGTCACCAGAACCTGTGTAGACACTCTCAAGTTTAGCAAGGAGCATATCATCATGAGTATTGCCACTAAAACACAAAAATGATAAACAAAGAGCAGCAGATGAGAAACATGGATCGCAGAGAAATATAAACAAAGAAACCAAACTGGATTAGTTTCGAATTATCTGATTTTAGAATTTAGACTCACGTACCTTGCAGTTAGAGGGCTGCTGTAGACATCCTTGATAATAGGATCTCCTTTCTCATCACGAGCACCAGCATGCTGGAACAATAGTCCAGAATAGGGGGATTGTAAGTATAAATAAAATACAATCAAGTCAACATAATCTTATAATGAACCCCACAAGTTACAACTACTACCCAGTATTTAAAAGGCATCCAAGAAAACCAGAAAAACTAACCACAAGGGAGATGCTAAAACCACAAGTACCTGAAAGATAAGCCCAGCTGTTCCACTAAACTTTGGTCTTATTGGTCGGCTAAATTCAATACCCGCTGTGACGCGACCAATGGTCAAGTTGCTACTATTTAGTTGGTTACCATGGATAAGTGTTCCGGGGGTTGTTGAATTCTAGCATAAGAAGAATCAGACAAGGGTCTAAGCATCGAGAATTTTGAAGTAGTTAGAAGGATAAGATGATCATACTTGATACAAACTAACATTAAATCACCTGAACCATTATGGTCCTGGATGTCCGCTTATCATCTCCTGCAATCCATGGATCTGAGTAATTTATGCGAAAAATTGAGTCTATCTGTCCCCTCTCTAAGGAAACGTGTAGCTTTTGGTTTCTTCCGAAGAGATTCCTATGAGAATATGCAAAGCTGCAAGACAAACAAAAAACTTATGGAAAACTTAAGTCTTAAGAATCCAATGAAACACTAGATGACATTGGCCCAGCGAGCACTACTTGAACGATGACACATGCATCTTTATGTAGAAATACATGACACTTATATAACATTGATGGTAATAGATCTGTTCTTTTTTCACAAAAAAAAAAAAAAAAAAAAAAAAAAAAAAAAAAAGAAAAAGAAATACTTAGATATCAGATATTTGAATAAATATTTTTGCAAAAGCAAAGAATATAAATAATACGAGGGGATTTAAACGTTAAAAAGGTAGCACCAGCATTTTAAGCAGTTAGGGCTGCTAAGCACCCTGACAATCTAAGTATTTAAATGTTAAAATGAAAATTGTTAAATACTCACACAGATATTTCTATCAACTCACAAGGCTTAATTATCATAACCAGTTTTAGTAAGCTCTGATGCTACATAATCTTGTACAGATACCCCTCCAAGTATAAGTCCAAAAGTTTTGTTAACCTATATCTTTACCATTTTAAGTTTCAAATACCCAGGTTCTTCCCTATGTCAAAGTCTGTCAACAAAAGGATTTCAGACTGATGCAAATAGTCTAAAAGCTTAACACACTTCCTTCCAATCCATAAAGGTTCAAAACTAGATAATTATCAATTTCTGTTTAAAGTCAAATTAGAATCTAATCAACCCAAACTTAATTTGCCAAACACATAGTTTGTTCCATAGATGTAGATTGTAGACAAGTTCCATTAGACAAATATATTTAATGCATACACATCATGAATAACTCATCGAACTATGTCGTCAAGATTAAGCATGTAAACTGGGGAACAGAACAAAAGAATGGAGCATGTGGTAGACAGGACATAGAGTGAAGCATTTAACACTGGAAAACTACATGTAAGATTACCTTCCAATGAGTCCTGACAGGGGGCCGCTTGTAATTCTGAAAAATAATAAATAGAAGTTAAATATTTTGTACCATAAAATCTGAAACACAAACTCAAAGATTTCAATTTGTATTCTCCACTACTTTGACTTACCCACTTGATATACCACCACCAGCAGAAAACCCTCCACTTGGCCGCTCAACAACATTCATTGTGATATCAACCTTACCAGCATCTACAATTATTCAATTGTTTTGGTAAACGCATTCAATCAGTCAATATCATCACAAAACATGTATAAATAATTAGCATAATTTCCACAGATATAGATGGGGCCATAAGCATAAATGCCAATGTCGGACATCAATAGTCCTACAACGGGTTGAAAGTTGAGACATAACAGTCTACCACGGATGACCACATTGATAGGACCATTAGGATTCAAGACAAACAAAATCCTACCGACATGAGGACAATCACAGTAGACTGTTATCCCTCGCTAAAAGAAAAGTTAACACTTGTTGAAAGAAAAACTAAAGGGCTTGTTGCACATTAACCCCTATTTAAAACTACAAAGTACTCCATCCTTCAAGTAAGGCTAAATGAACTAGATGTTTCCACCTTTCTTCCCTCCATTTACTCTTCCCATCCAAGCAAGAGAACAGTAGTTTCCACACATTGCTACTTCAAATTTATTTTAGGCGCTGATTATTATGAAAACTGAAAATCACCTAACATTCTGAAATATATAATTTCAAACAAAATTACTTGCCGAAAAAATAATAAAACTAAAATTTTCTTTTCCACCTGCTGGTTGGGGTATGATGCTAACATCTTCCATAAGTCCCATAGTCAATACAGTCTCTACATCTCTTTTTCCCTGTAACATACTGTAGACCTACATAGGAAATCCCGACAAGTAAAACACAGTGTTCCCAAATATCAAATTAAAAATGATTGCTTTGTGTATGTAAAAAAAAAAAACCTGGCCCTTCTTAGTAGTAAGTTGGCGAAGTATCGTTTCGGGCTTTGTCTTCCCTATGGTTGGTTCACCCCTAAGAAGAGCAGAGAAGAATTAGTGAAGAAATGCTGTAGTTGCCACCTTTCTATGAAACTTCAAATTTCAAGGTTATCTGTAAATGAAAACTCAATTAAGGCAGGAGCTTACGTCTTCCTGTCAAGGAATCGCATGGAGATATTATTCACCTCAGTTTCTGATACTTGTAACTTAAGAATACCACCTGAGAGAATCTCAACAGCTGAAACCTACAATATAATGGAGAAAACACATGTCAACTATCAAAAAAAAATCTTGATCACAAACATACAAGGGAAATTAGAATCCTACACTGAACCAATTCTACGCTCTACAGCACTAGAAAAATTAACTCCAACTTTATACATTTTGAAATTATAAACAAAAAAAATTAACAGCCTAGTCCTTTATCTTCCTTTTCTATAAAAATAAATTATAACAAATCAGTGGGAAAGTTGATATAGAGTAACCAACCATGGCAAAAAGGCCCCGATCCATGTACCAATCATTGATGGAAGATATTACTTCATTCAAACGCTTAAGATTAATAACTTTTCCTGCACAACTTGACACCAAAACCGAAAATCAATATAGGCCCCCCATGTCATGAAAGTGGCACCACCAGAGAGATATAAATGATCTTTCAATAATGTATGCATGCCCACACCCGTAACCATGTAAGAGCATTAACGAAAAACCTACCATATCCATCACAGAATGCATCCTTCAGAAACTTTGCTGGAAGAACATTTGCCCCTTCACATACTAGCCCTTGGAATTCCTGGTTTGGTTTTACCTAGCTCCAGCCAAATAATATAAACTATCAGTCATAGTTATGTCAAAGGGGATACATGTTTCGATACACGATCATGACATGAGTTTTTATCACCTACGAAACAATTACAAAAATTCCATCAATACTCACTCTCCATTTTCAATTTTCTCTCTTGGAGCCAAATCTCTTCATTTAGTTTAAAGACGCGGAATGAAACGTCTGAAATGATCACGAGACACACAGATTCAACCCTAAATCCTAATGCAACAATGCACAAGCAGCTTTATAATTACCATACGTTCATAACAGAGCAAATACAACATAAATTTGACAACGAAAAGTGAATGCAAAACGAATTCTAATTTATAAATACTAACGCGGGTCGAAGTTCTTCATTTGAATAAAAAAACAGAAAACTTCAGTTCCACAACAATGCAGATATAATGTTGACACCTGAAAGATCAATCTGATGCCGTCCCTTGTATCGACGGCGACCGGCATGCAGGAGCAGAAATAGCCACTATCGATGATCCTATGCACGTCCTCCTGGACCTCCCGCACAGTGAGCGCCGAGTTCGCTCGGCACGCCTTGAGAGCCGCCAACGCCTCCATTTCAAGGTCCTTCCTTTCCAGCTCCTCCCCGTCCTTGTTCCTCACCAGCACCTCGCTTATCAAAACCCTCTCCTCATCGTGCCGGCTGGACGAGTGTCCCTTCTGCAGCGACTGAGTCGACTCGTCCGGCCGAGTCAGAGCCAGCGACGCCGAGCATAAAAGCGGCGACTTCCCTACGAACCTGCCCCGGTCCGCATTCCGATTTCGCGACTCGGACTCTGATGAGTCGGCGAACCGAGTCAGCGACAGCGACGCGGAGCAGAGGATGGGCAAAGGAGGGAACTTTGGGAAAGAAGAACGAGTCCTAAGCGAGTCGATGAGTTGGGCGAACGAGTTTCTGGTCCTGGCGAACAGAACTGTAAGGTCCACGTGTCGATTTTCGGGAGAGCGAGGGACTTTGGCTGAAGGAGATGAAGTGAACCGAACGTCGTCGTTCGGCGGCATTGGAGAAGGACTGAGAAATGATACCGGAGAGTGGTGTTTGGATGCAGAGATAGAGAAGCCTTGTCCGGGAATAAGGAGTAGGAGGGCTTTAGGGTTTTGGTTGACAGTCGAACAGAGAGTGAGGGTTTGGGGAAGAAGATGGGGACGATGAGTCAAACAAGAAGGAGAATCCGGGAGCGGTTCGGAGGCGGGTCGTGGGCTTGGGTTCTGGGTACTTATTGGGCCGGGCCATTGAAAATGTAAGTTCAACCCAAACCCGTCCAATTCATAACTCCTCACATTCCCCGAAAATTTGAAAAAACCAAGCCGCGCTAATACGCCAACCATCTCCCAAACACCCATCTCTCTCTCTAGCTCTCTCTGCAACTCGGTGAATCTGAATCCATGGTCGAAGTGTGACATCGTCGACGATGGAGAAGCTGTTGGTAAAGATCTTCGACAGGAAGAAATGGATCGTCAACCAAGCAAAGCAGCAGACCTTCCTCTTCGAGCAACACCTCGCCTCCAAATGCCTAATTGACGGAATTGTCCCTCCTCCCTGGCTTTGCTCCTCCACCGACCCCAACAGTGGTACTACTTTCCGACTTTAATCTCCGTCAGTTCAACTCTGTCGTGCGTTTTTCTGTATTAGTTTCAACCGAACTGTCCCTGAGAGTGATTTTTCGTTCTCATCATTTCTCTAAAACCCTAGGTTTTCCACTTTGTTTTGGTAAAAATGTTGAATTTTGCTGCTCGATTTCAAATTTGCTGTTTTGTTTAGGTTTTGTGGGGAATTGCGTTTTTAGATGTGGAAGAAGTGAAACCTAGGTTTTGCACATTGCATTATGTATTTGTGAACTTGTTGAGGGCATCGTTTGAATAGCGTTGTTAACTTTGTTGCTTTCGACTGAAAAATTTGCTATTTTGTTTCGGTTTTAGTGGGTATTACGCTCTTAGATGATGAAGAAATGGAACTTTGGTGGTCCGTATGTATTCGTGTAATTTGGAGCGTTAGATACTCTGATTGGCTGCTTATAAAGTTTTTTATTTGGGATACATTTGCCATTCAAATGATGCATCAACTGACTATTATACAAGTAATATAACAAACACACATCTGTATGCTGTATGTGTTGTAGCTATGCATGTACAGTGTTCTTATGCTTATGTGCATGAATTAATTATCTTTTGATTTGTTCATTACAGTGTTGAACAAACAAGAGTTAAATTCTGGAGTTCCACTCCCTCGAGCGCTGCCTGTGATCCCTTTTAGTAGCCATTGTTCTGTATTTGACAAGCCAGCTCCCACGACTCTCACTGGGGAGCTACCAAATGGTTTGTGCACTGAACTTCATGTTTTGGACAAAGGTTTTGGTGCTGGAGATAAGGCGTTGGTTTTGCCGCAGTGTTCTGTAAGTAATGCTGGGTGTGTATCCAATGATGTTCCTCATGGGAAGAGAGAAGAGGATCCTAGTGTTACATCTCCAGGAGATGTGAGGGACGCAAGAATCACAGATATTTACCATGATCTAGCTCTATCACCGACTAGAGGTGCAGGAGATGGGGTATTAATTTTGCCACAGTGCCCTGTTAGTAGTGCTGGATGTTCTTCCAACGGTGTTCCTCAAGATCAGAGAAAAGAGGATCTGGGTAATACATCTCCTGAAGATCAAAGGGATACAAGAACCTCTGACATTTACCATGACCCAGCTCTATCACTGGCTAGAGTTCAGAGATCCAAACCCAGACAAAAAGCTCTGGAAATTCGCAACAGTGCCAAAAAAACCTTTTCACAAGAAAAGAACAATGGTATTGGACATGCTAATGGAACAATTGGGTGTGCAATATCTTACCTACAGTCTGACCATGTTGATGAACTGAACTTAGTCAAACCTCCTGATACAAGTGATTATGCTTGTGCAGTGGAAGAAGCAAACATAGGGGAGTTTCAAAGCAAGGAAAGAGGTGCTACCATCTACTCTGGTAGAATTACAAGATCTAGAAGCTCTGGTCATCAGGAGAGCTCTTTGAATGTCAGTGGCTCGGTTTGTATTGACAGGAAATTTGGTGGAGCACTTTCAGATTCTATTGGCATATCACCTCAGCAGTCCAAACATGTAAATAAATCATTGGAATTGGTTAATTACTCTCATATCACTAATGAAAGTTGCCAAGAGAATGAAGCAAAAGTAGGTGAACATTTTATCAAGGAAAAGGGAAGCAGCATATACTCTGGGAGAACAACAAGATCTAGAAGTGCTAGTAGAAGAACCTAATTGTCTTGATAAATTGTCCAAGTTGGAGCAAACATCTAACAGCATAAGTGAAGTTGGTGTCAGAAATTCACTACAACAACCGAAACATGTTGATGAAGTGGTGGAAGTGGTAAAATCTTGTGATATTGTTGATGGAAGTTGTGAAGCGAAAACAAAAGTGGGGGAGTGCTGGAGCAAGGTAACCAGTGATTACAGTGGCAGATAACAAGATCCAGAAGTTCATCCCAGAAACCAAATGACGTTAACAATTATCCGCAGGTAGATACTGCCTGTATTTCTGTGAAGGGTGATGGCGGTACAGTCCATCATTCCACTGGTAAGTCAACACAACCACCTCAGCCTTTAAGTACTGGGTCACAAGCTGTGCATAGTACTGAAAAAATAGCAAAAGACGCCATCACCAATATATCTGGTCAAAGAATTAATCAGTCAACATTTTCTTCATCTAACAAGTCTCACGATTCACAGAGAACTCAAATATCTGCTGCAAGGTCTCTTCCAATTCAATGTGATATAGACCTGTGTGCAGAGAATTCCACAGATTCTTCAGACAAGGAAAATAATGCAGATTACTATGCTGGCAGAAAGACGAGTGCAGAAACTAATTGTACTACTGAAGGAATGTCAAAACCGGTCAATTCACAGACTTTGGTTCACAGGGTTACACAGTCCAGATTTGCTGCTTCAAAGAAGCATTTGTCAGAAAAACTGACTCGTGGGTCTGCAGGAATAAGGCACCAGGATGTGTCAAGTACTATGGTAAAAGAGGTACCCTGTACTCAAAACAGTGAATTTGTTAAAGCTGCAGCTGGTGGAGAAACGGAAATTGATCCTGAAGTATCCGTTAAAGGTTCTGGTTCAAAATTGGATGGTACTGGGCTTAGAGCTGAAGTGGAGGTTTTAGCCTCAAGGGAGCCTGCTGATTGTAATGTGTTTGTGAATCCCAAGCACCTTAATTTTGATGACGTGGAAGAATCCTGTAGGAATGGAAGTTATACTCCTGCTTTTAAAGAGGGAATGCAGGGAAGATCATCAGAAAAAAGGTCTATTTCCTTGATGGATGCTGATGATATACTGGAAGAAGGAATGACTGTCGATTACCAAGAAAATCATAACTCGTCCCTGCCAATGAAATTTCTCGGGAATCCGGAAGTTTCAGTCAAAGGGAAGGACCTCCTGAGTGGTTTATCTGGATCTCCTGCAGAAGAGGATAGAAGTATCTCGAATGGAAACGCCATCTCATCAGTAAAGGAGACATCTGATGTTCATAATGATGCAGTTGCTAATATGTTGCTAGAAAGTGGCAATAGAGAGTCTCGGTGTGGAACCATGGGAAGTGTAGAACATAGTCCAAAGGCCATACTAGAATCTCAAGGCCTTTCACTTTCTCGGGTGGATGTTGCAACATCAATTGTCAGTAGAAGTCCTGTTGAAGAAACGCCTCAAAACGAGGACCGCGACATGATTGAGAGCTCTGAATCTTCACCTAAGGCACAGATTAAAGAGGTACTTAATTTTCTGTTGCAGTGATTTCTCTCGCTCTCTCTTGGCTAAGTGGTGGCCCTTACACCTATGTTTTTACACCTATGTTATTCTTTATGGTAGTCTTGTTTTATTTGAGATTTTCTGTTTAATTGTTCTCGACAAATTGCTTGTCTACTTTTATTTGGTCTTTTATAATGTACAAGATTGTGTTCGATAGGGTGAATATAGTGATGAACTGAACGTAGTCAAACCTCCTGATGCAAGTCCTTGTGAAGTGGAAGAGGGAAAAATAGGCGAATTTCAAAGCAAGGAAAGAGGCCTTGTTCTCTCCTCTGGTAGAATTACAAAATCTAGATCAGACCAACAGGAGAGCTCTTTGAATGTCAGTGGCTCAGCCAGTAATGCCAGAAGAACTGGTTCTGTTGGCGTATCACCTCGGCTGTCTAACCCTGCAAATCAACCCTCGGAATTGGTTAACTACTCTCATATCACTAATGACTGTTTTCAAAAGAAGGAAGCAAAGGCAAGAGATCACTTCATTACGGAGGGTTCATGCCCTCAGCATAAACGAAGAAAGATTGAGTGTAAAACAACTGATGACCAGTCTGCTTCTTTGGGCTTGAGAGAACAGGGTTTTTACAATGTCAGTAGAGATTCTATGTGTGGGAAATTGGGAAGTGTAGAAGATAGTCCAAAGGCTGTACTAGAATCTCAAGGGCTTTCAATTTCTCGGGAGGATGTTGTGAAATCAATCGTCAGCAGAAGCTCAGTTGAAGAAACACATCAAAATGAGGATCACCATATGATAGAGTGGTCTGAATCTTCACCTAAGGCACAGATGACAGAGGTAATTACTTTTTTGTTGTGCAATGATCTCTTTCTCTCTCTCTCTCTCTCTCGGCTAAGCTATGGCCCTTACATCTTGTTTTATTTGAGATTTTTTGCATACTTGTTTCTCTTATATCAGACAGGTTGCTTGTCTACTTTATTTGATCTTTTCTAATGCATAATATTGTGGCTGACAGGGTAGAATCAGCTTGGGATGCAGGGATACAAGTGGTAGCGCACCTTTCATTTTCATGGATAAAGAGTTTGAAGCTTCAATCCTAAGTTTGATGAAGCAGACTGGTATGATGGAGGAAACAGGATTAGCACATCCACCAAGCATTATCATTGATTCAGGAAGTCAATGCATGGTAGAGACTACTGTTTCACTAACTCGTAAGGATAATCTTACAACAGGAAATGCTGAACATTTGACATGCGCTGGAAGAGCAATGCAGGAAATGAGATTTGATCTTGGAGTTGGATCTCCACATGGCCAATCCTTGGATTTGATTGGTTCGGATGATAGAAAGCCTGAGCTTGAGGGGTTCGTTATGCAAACAGATGATGAACCAACAAGCATTGCCGGAAAGGGAATTAGCTTTGACGAATGGAACCTTCCAAGCACTACAATTGAACGTGCCAGCATTCTGGAGCATTTGTGCCAATCTACTTGCATGCAAACTCCAGTAGTGTGCTCTTCAGCTTCAAATAAGTTGCACAAAATTCCAAATCTCTACCAATCTGTTCCAATTGGGCTTCTAGAGGGTGTGGATATGAGGACCATGAATGATGTTGTCAAACAATTAAAGGATGGTTATAGTTACTTGAATGAGGAAGTTGGCCAAGCGTTTTATGGAAGGTCCTATTCTGATTGCCTATTAAATCATAGTGGTCAATCTGGTTGGGATACTAAGAAACCGTATCTGTCTCCAGTTGGCAAACTCTGGGATACAACTGGTTCAGGGACTAGTAGTTCAACGAAGCGAGGAAGCTTAATTCTGGAGCTTCCCTGCATTAGTGAAGAAAATGAGAATGCAGATGAGGCAGCTGATACCTTCCAAGATGAAAGTGTTACAGATGCATTAAACAGGTCAATACAGAGAGTACCACTTGCTGACATTACTGAGATTCCAAACCCTCCGGCATCAGTTTCTAAAGCTGAACCATATGCAGATAGACTTAGTCTAGATTCCATGAACACTGAATTCAGCTTAACGGGCACTCATAAGAACTTCAAACGGAAGCTTGGAATCCAAAGCAGCAGCAAGAGAAGATATAACAATAAGGAGAACCTGAGTATGTCACGAGGAACAAACGATATTAAGAGGACCACTGGATCACTTCATAACAGGTTCAATAAACCAAAATTATCTGGAAAAACCAGTCTGAGAAAAGGTGGTCCAAGTTTGTCAGAGCAGGAGCCGAAGCGTAACAATATTGTGTCCAGCATGACTTCTTTCATTCCACTTGTTCAACAGAAACAAGCAGCTGCAGTTGTAACAGGTAATTTCTTACTAGTAATCTTAATCTTTGAACTTTGGATGTTGCATTACATGTACATATTCCATATGATTGTTTTTCTGAGTGTGGAGCATAATTGTATGTCTAAACTGGGTTACAGTATGGATGATGGTTTTATTTTTACTGAGTTAGGTATATTTTATTTGGAATGTAAATTAGCAATGAATGTCTGGGATCATCAAGTAAAAATTAAAGTGCATATTTGAAACTGAGTTGCCCCATTATCATCCATAAGTATTTTATAGGTGACTTCATCTTGTCATAAGGAGCTTGATAGTGATTCATTTGTTTTTTTTTATTATATCATTGTGATTGTGAGCATTCTGGGATATATTTCTTCTCTTTATTTCTTCTTTTTCTCCAATGACTTGATCCAGTATTTTGACCTATTTGTGCTTTCTTGCAGGGAAGAGGGACGTCAAAGTGAAGGCCCTGGAGGCAGCTGAAGCTGCAAAGCGTCAGGCAGAAAAGAAAGAGAATGAACGCAAGATGAAGAAGGAAGCCTTGAAACTTGAGCGCTCAAGAATGGAGCAGGAGAATATCAAGCAGTTGGAGTTGCAGAAGAAAAAGAAGGAAGAAGAGAGGAAGAAAAAGGAGGCAGATATGGCATCAAAGAAGAGACAAAGGGAAGAGGAAGAAAGGAAGGAGAAGGAAAGAAAAAGAATGCGTATTGAAGCACGTAGAAACAAGAGAGAACATGAAGACAAGGTACCTGCAGAAAAGGTAGAGAAAGAAATGAAAACCCAGGCCATTGTATGATTCTTTATGGTCTGCCTCATTTCATTATATCTATCTTTTTGCAATGTTAGATATCACGTTGTATATTGGGCTGTCTTGTGTAGGATGGAAGAGGCCCTGGGGGTAAGGAATATAAGGATGAAATGGCAAGTAAGAAAATGGAGGAAGAAAAGGGTTATGACAATAACAGAAATATTTCGGAGAATAAGCCTAGTACTTCCAGGATTTCAATAAGCAATGCTGGAAAAGAAAGTATTGTCCACGAAGAGTTCCACGAGGCCTCGAGTAATTATGGATATAAAGCAGAGGTAAATGCAAATGATTTTTTAACAACCAATACCCACCATATCTTAGGATCTACTTGCATATGTTGAGTGCTTTTACTTGTGTAGGCTGGAGCATGGTGATAATCCTCTGTTATTGTAGTTTGCATAGGACCGTTTAAACTTGTTGGGTTTTAACTATTATGAGGCCTTCCCCTTTGCTGTCTTTATACCGCAATATAGGAAAGAACGCTACACCAGTCTAATTGCAAGACTTATCTTCTGTTAAAACTACTAGTAGCTTATTGTAAACTTAAATATGAACCACCGTTAGAATGTCTTCTTGTGCATGATTAGCTGCATACTTTCGTTTCGTGCACTTTTACTTTGTAAAGCCTCGTGCTGACATTTCCTGTGATATTTAAGGTACTGAGCAATTCAGACAGAGCAATGAAGAATTCAGTTGCCATTACAAGTCAAGAACAGTCTTATGACATCTCTCCATACAAAGAATCAGATGATGAGAATGACGATGACGACAGTATCATACCAAATAATAAATTTATTCCTTCGTGGTCAAGGTATTTTTTTTTTCAATTGTTGTTATAGATGGAATATGATCTTCAAATTATAGAGCATCGCAATAATCCTAGCGATGTGTATCTTAAGGAATGGCATATATTGCGTACCCTTTGGAACTGTCAACTCGGATGCACTTCTCTAAATCGGTTCTGTTTTGTACAGTAAAAACTGCCTGGCTTTCGCTGCTTCTTCCCAGAATAGAGCAGACCCAGAGACGATCTTCCCCCTGGAAAGCTTTTGCTGCATATCTGAAGGTACTTTTATGGTTTAAAGCCATGGTCTTAGTAGCTACTGCTTTGTCCTTTTGGCTAGTCAATGTTTAGGTACTGCTGGACTAAGTTCGAAAATGCTCATTTGCAGTCCTCTTGCCCCGAAAGCATCAATTGAACAACAGCGGAATGTGTTAATCTATGTTCAGTTATATTCTTCAGTCACCTAGAATATGAGCTTTCGGTCAAGAAGAGGTAATGTTACCTTCTCCTTTTCCCTTTCGGTCTCCTAAACTACGTTTATGCTGGCAGTTTCGTTGTTAAAAGAGCAATTTTCCTTCTGCAAAATGTAAAATGCCTTCAGTTACCGCCTATCAAAACCAAAATACTTGTAATAATTGGTTTTCGTTTCTCCTTGCAGATTTTCAAAGTCTATTTGTGAACAGTTTCTTGAGCAGGCGACACCCTTTCAAGCCGAAATGTAGCTGAAATGCGCAGAGCATTTTTCTTATGTATGGGATTCTGTCGTAATTGTTATGCCAGATAATTTGCAGATTGATTGTAGTTAAGAAGAGTAACAAGTTCCATTGGCAGAAGGGCAATCGCCTGAGCTACCGAGTAATTTGGTCAGCATCTCCTGCTGCTGCTGCATTTTTTGGCACCATACCTGGTTTTACTTTTAACCTCCCAATCATCTTCCTTAAGGATGAAATGTATATATTTTCGTATGGGCGTGTTGTAAGATTATGTATAGCATATACAAATTTAACCATTACAAGTGGCTCGGTGGTTGGGAACGAATTTTAGATCCATATTTCACAAGATATGGTCTAAGTTCGATTTTTGGTGCTGGTGAATCACACGATGGTGGTCGGGGAAGGTTGAAACGCCTCTGTGAGTCCTAGCCCCCGAAAGAGTGGACATGGCAAAGCCACTAGCTAGTCTCTTTTGTAATAGGATAAAAAATATATATACAAATTTGCTACACCAACTAGTATGGAGCAGTGTTCTTTCTCTTTTACACCCAAGTTCAAATTTCTGTTTTTATATTCATAATTTAGATGAATTTAGTGCGGATTATCTTATCCTTTTTTTTTTTTAAATCCCGCTTCATAAATAATTTGATCTGCAACGTTTAAACTCAAAACTTGAGCGAAACAGAGTGAAACGATTTGGAACTACCTCCACCACAATGGTGAGGGTCATCTCCACTTTGATAGTAATAGCTGAAAGTTGGAAGTTCAGGCAGCCTAAACCATTCGCCATTGATGAACAGCTCCAAAGAGGGATAAACAGGGAAACCAGCCCTGCTGAAGGTTTTAAGTACAAAATTAAAAAAAAAAAAAAGCAGTTCAACGTTCCGACTTTGATTTCCATCAATGAAAGTTGCAAGGAATGTGAACCATATTGCCTCAATCTTTTCCATTCATATTCTTTGCACACCTCTTGTTCAGAGAAGAACAAACATTTTGGTGATCCTCGGAAAAGAAAGAGATGGTGGCAAATCCTCTTCTGGCAGGAATGCAAGACAATCGATGATGCATAGCTGCTGAGGTCCTTCTCCAGGCAGGAATTCCGCAAGTGCGTGGTGTTTTGATCCACAGATTTCAAACTTGATCGTCCAGACGGTGTGAGTGGAAGAGAGCCGCTGTTGTTTGAGCAATGTCTCCAACAGATCCTCAGTTCCCCTGATCTGAAATTCTCCAAGGGGGACATAGCATAGTTCGATTCCACTGTTAAAAAAATACCCGATATTATAAATGCAAATATAGGCAAAATGCAGAAAGCAAAAGAGAAGGAAGGTAAATTACAATTTACAAATCATCAGCGTTCAACCAAAGATCGATATATCCTTGTGGTGAAATCTGTAGAGGAACAACCAGCATCCTTGTCAGCCTCCTTGTATAGTAACGCAATGTACTGGCATTCGTCCAAACACAGTTAAGTGGCTCTAAATACAGATAAGTGTCAAATTAACTTTGAATTTTGTTGGAAAATTTGAGGACAATCAATTTAACATAGCAACAGATAAGTTGTACTAAATAAGTACCTGGCTTTGTCTTGAGAGTTGAGAGTTGGAGAGAGTGAAATGAAGGCTCATATGGTGATTTCATCATCTATCTTTATGCAAGGAATGCGAGATATGTTTCTCCAATCTTTTCCCTTCTTGTTCCGATACCTCTTCTTCAGAGAAGGACAACCCCAGATGCTCAGATAAGAAAGAAATGCCGGCAAACCCTCCTCCGGCAGGAATTCGAGACTCTCGCAGCTTGAAATTTGTAGCTGTTGAAGAGAAGTGAGATGCTCAAGTTCCTTTTGTCGAAAGATTTCAGATTTGAAAGTATAGAGATCCAGAGATTGTGAAGAGTGGCAAGGAGCAGCTGTTCCCGGAGCAACATCTCCAACGGATCCTTGTTTCCTTGGACCCGAAATTCTCGGAGAGGGGCAAGTCCTTGCCATCCCCACTCCACTGAAGGCCTCAGTATCTCACAATTTTCAATCCAAAATGTTCGTAGGTTGGGAGGCAAAACCCCTTGTGCAGGTGACCCCAGATTTGGAAGATTTTGTATCCACAAATGTTGAAGGGCAGTGAGGGTGTGCATTTGGGCCAGCAGCAACTTCAAATTCTCGCATTTGGCAGCACAGTCCTGCCAACAACAATAATGCTTCTCCTTTTGCTACAGTCCTGCCAAAGATAGAGTGGAATTATATCCACTTCCATAGCAGCAGCCTCCAAATAAACCACCATTGGCAGCCAACGACTTAAGTGTCATGGCCTAAAATGTACGTGGTAGAGAAAAATGAACCCCTGTGCGCGCACTTGGCTGCACAGGCATATGAATCAGAAAAACAATGAATGGACCCCTTAGCAACTGGGAAATCCTGCTATGTGCTATCATGTACATGAAGCACTACCATGGTTCAGTTGGTACTTACCAAGAAGGTTTCTAAATTTGAGAGCCGGCTGCTCCAACTTTCACCATCAAACTTGGGTTAAGGCTTATCATCATCTATTTCTCCATGGCATCTTCCTCTAGAGCAGTTAACGAATCAAATGATTACCTGCATATATAGTAGAGGAAATCTGCAATGTTTAATAATTTTTTTCTTCGTTTGTTAACTTGCTACATCACACACGCTAATATATAGAAAACAAAGCTCCAAGTCCAGATGCAACTTTGAATATTCTCTTGATTGCTTATGAAATCCACAATGGTGAGAAGAATGCTAATATATAGAAAACAAGCCGACAAATATGTTAGTCCCATCGTGTTGTCCTGACTGATTGCATAGTTGAATTATATTGATCCATAAAGGAAGAACAAAAATTACACTCAAGTGTTCATTCTTACGCTGAAATCTGTAGGCGCAGCAGCTGGCCACCAAGTCTATTCACACTGGCATTCTAGCAAGCGGTGCTAATAAGCCATGCTCTCTTCAACCATGGTGTTTGTATATGCACCTACCACAAGATGAAAGATGAGTAAGCATTCCGCCATATGGAAACTGCAGCAGTATATATATACACAAGTACCTGCAGGAGAATCATATATATCGACCCCCAAGTAGTTCCACAGTATCAGACTAGAAATAATTCACTCCCCTCGCACTCTCCTGTAATTTCATCGTAATTAGACTCTGAAGCTTTAATTTAAGCTGGAATATTGCCGAGGACAATCAATTTAAGAATAAATAATAAAAGTACCTGGTTTTTTTCTTGAGAGTTGAGAGTTAGAGAGTGAAATAAAAGCTCATATGATGGTGATTTCATCATTTATCTCTATGCAAGGAATGCGAGCTATGTTACTCCAATCTTTTCCCTTCTTCAAAGAAGGACAATTCCAGATGCTGACATAAGAAAGAGATGCCGGAAAACCCTCTTTTGGCAGGAATTCGAGACTCTCGCAGCCTGAAATGTGTAGGTGTTGAAGAGAAGTGAGGTGCTCAAATCCCTTTCCGTTCAAAGATTTCAGATTCCATACAGAAGAGATTTCAAGAGTATGAAGAGTGGCAGGGAGCAGCTTTTCATTGAGCAACGTCTCCACCAGATCCTTGTTTCCTGAGATCCAAAATGATTGTAGGTTGGGAGGCAAACCCCCTTGTGCAAATGACACCACTTTTGGAAGATCGAATATCCGCATATCTTGAAGGGCGGTGAGGGTGTGCATGCGGTCCGGCAACAACTTCAAACTTCCGACAGAAAAGGAAGTGAGGTTGGGAGTGTGCAATCCCCCGTCGGGAAAAGAGACAAGATTTGGACAATGCAAAATAGACAGGGAGTTGAGATGGCTGAGATTTTCATCTGCTCCTCCTTCAACAGATACAGATAGGGATTCCAGATTCTGACAACTTTGGATAAAAAGAGATGAAAGGTTGGGGAAAATGCCCAAAGGGAACGACCTCAGAGAATCACAGCTCCCTTCTAGACGCAAAGACTGAAGGGAAGTCAATTTGGCCATCATCTCACGTGATAGGAATTCTAATTTCTTGCAACAGTATAAGCGGAGTGACGTCAGCGTGGTGGGCAGACCATTTGTAGGGAACGACAAGAGTGAGGAACATCTACATAAAATCAAACTTTGAAGACGATTGCTGTTGTGCACCATTTGCGGCAACCACTCTCTCCCATCAAAATGAATATCAAGCATCTGAAGCGACGGCAGCGTCTCCGTCGACTCTAGTAACAATGAGAGACCCGGGCATCCATGTATTGTCAGTTCTTCAAGAGATCCTCGTAAGGACTCCGTGTTCAGGGTATTACTGGCCCTGTTTTCATGTAGAACCTCACAATTGCACACGGTAAGTATTTTCAAGGAAGGAAGATGAGTGGGCAAGTTTCCTCTCAGCTTCGGACATCGAGATAAAGTCAACTCCTTAAGACGAGGAAAGTTTGGACTTTCACCTCCACTTGGACTTGGCTGCCATTCCTCCCACTCTGGCATATCCATAAACACTAGCTTCTCTAAACATTGAAATTGTTGATTTCCCCCGTACAACTCAACACCAACACTCTTAACAACTTTCATCCATTGTACGTAGAGCTCTTTCAGAGCAGGTAGCTGACCAACTGGTGGCAATGAACTGCAATTACCACAGCCACTGAGACGCATCACTTGTAAGTTGGAGAAGGACGAGTCTCCCACCCAATTCGGGAAACTGATTCCGCCATAACACCTGATGGTTAGCTTCACCAAATTTACCCAAGGTTGAAGCCTTTCAAGCACATGTCTCTCTTTTACAAAATCATCGGAAGCTTCAGGACCCCATGCCAACTCTACCTCCTTGAGATCTTTCTTATCCTTCAGCAAGGCATCAATAGCACCGACCACATTTTGCAGATTCAAGATAGAGATTTTTCCTCCAAGGTGCGACAACTCCCTCAGTTCTGCAATGCTTGACCCAGTAGATTCCCCCAACACAAAAGCTGTCAGTGTTCTCAAACTTTTTAGTCTACCCATATGCACAGGCATCTCTTTTATGAAAGTTTCACCAATATCAAGATGACGCAAATGAATCAATCTCCTCATCTCTGCAGGCAACTCAACAAGATAATAACAACCTTTCAACAACAGAGTTTGTAAATTGTAGAGGGTACACACTGTATCTGGTAACCTTTTAATTGTCGTATAAGAGAGATCAATGTAGCGCAAGTGTATGTGGTTACCAATAGAATCAGGTAAGTGAGTGATGTTTTTGTATCTTGACAATGAAAATGCCCGTAAATATTTTTGTGCTGGTAGTAAATCATCTAGAACCTTATTGCTTACATATTCAGCTTCCCAATGCTTATATGGTGCTAAAGATACTGGAAGGAAGGTACGCAAACACTCGACTCCTTCTAGTGGCTCAAATTTTGAAGATGGCTCAAATTTTGAAGATGTATCAAATTCTCCTCGCATATACGACAAGTGGCGAACTCTTTCAGGAACTTCATGTGATTTTTTCTGCTCCAACCTAAAACAAAACTTTCCAGACACAAACATAGCCAAGTCATTGATAAGATCATGCATTGTGAAACTTGGTCGATCCAATCTTGACCTTTGAAATAGTGACAGCAATAACAGTTCATCAAAGTATCTTTCACCAACCTCCTCCATTGCCTTCTCGTTCTCTGCATGTGGAATTAAACCTTCTGCCATCCATAGTAGAATAACATTTTCCTTTTCAAATTCATAGTCCTTCGGAAAAATTGAGCAATAAGCAAAGCATCGTTTCAAGTAAGTTGGAAGATAGTGGTAGCTCAATCTTAGAGAAGGAAGAACACTATCAGCATGTTGTAGATCCCAAAGATTGCTATTCAATATGTGATTCCATTCCTTGTAGTCTAGGTTGCAACTTAAGAGACCCCCTAGCGTTTTTGCAGCTAGAGGCAAACCCTTGCACTTACGTGCAATTTGCTTACCAATTTCAACCAATTCTGGATGTGCAGCGGGGTTTTCATTTCTGAATGCATGTTTTGCTAGCAACAACCAACAATCTCCATCCGACAATTCTTCCAAGTCGTGAATAGGAATAGTATTGTGCACGATGGATGCAACACGTCTATTCCTTGTTGTTACAATGACCTTGCTTCCCCTTGCCCCATACGTGAAAAGAGTTCGTAGCCGATCCCAGTCACCGTAGTTTTCATTCCAAAGGTCATCCAGGACAAGTAAGAATCTCTTTCCCCTCAATTGTTGCCTTAGTTGAACTTCAAGGGAATTCATCTCCAAATTGTCACAAGGCTTTTCAGTGATTTCCTCAATAAGGGTCTTAATAACCCTCAAAGCCTCATACTGTTCGGAAACACAAACCCAGGCATTAATATCAAAGAGCTCTTTAACTTGTTCATCGTTGTAAAGCAGTTGAGCAAGAGTCGTCTTACCAACCCCACCCATTCCGACGACAGGGACTACAGAAAAATTACTGCTACTTTCATTGTCAGATAGCAGCAGCAGAGCTTTTAACTTTTCCTTATCTCCTTCCCTTCCATCGGTACAAAATCCGTCCTCAACAACAGAAGTTGTGGGAGTTCTTTGTGAAACCTTGCCCCCAACAACACCTTCTCTAAGGCCGAGGGTATCTTTTTGTTTTGCAAGGTGTTCCAACTTGTTGAATAAACCTTCTATCCTACCATTCATGCCTTTATAATTAAAAGGATTAAGACGGGTAGAAAGGAATTTCAACACCTTGGGTTTCTTAGTTTGATCTTTCTCCTTGTGACGCGAAGCTTTAGTATCGATCTCATCCACCAGGTCCTCCGCATCGAACACAGCATCTTTGAGATCGTTAAGCCACACCTCGACTGCAGGGTTGACAATCTGCTTCTCCTCTGCGTCGTTGAGCACTGCTTGAAGTGTATTCAATGTCACCCTCAGTTTGTCCATAAGCGAATGGTCGAGTCTTCTTGCCCGGAAGAAGTTGATGAACAGTCCGGAGGCAATCTTTTCGCACAGCACCTTGATCGAACCGGAAAGCAAAGCCTCTCCAACCAAAGCCATTTTCTCTCTTCGTGGCCAAAGGACTAATTGTGATCAAGTATTTGAAGTTGGAAAGCTGAAAATTGTTCTTGGCAAAGGCTGTTAAGATTACTTCATGACTGGTGAGACGACTTGATAATGTTTTGATCAATAATGCAGCGGACCACTCACGGCAAACAAAAAGTAGTAATTGATGGAGTTTGGAAAAACACAGTAAAAAGATTCACGCAATACATTTGGATCTCAACGTTTTTCCATATGATATCATCACATGTTCCCACCATCGTCTTGTCACCATCTTGTCATTATTTCTACTCTGCTTCTAATTCCAAGGGGAACATCTTCGTGTGAAAAATAAGGTTAAAGTTTCGGACAGGACCTCAATGTTGGGTTCAATTTCTGCAATTATTATTTACATTTTATACTTTTAATCTCAACCACTTATTTTCTACAACACTCGTTACCACGTGCTATGTGTTGAGAGTTGTCCTATATCAATGAGGGACAAGGTTTATTATGTATTTATATGATCTTGGACTACTTTCTATATTGTCAATTGATTTTATGGTGGAATCCCAATTTCGTCATGGTATTAGAGCGGGTTGTCTTCCTGTGAAGCCAAACGGCCACATGCGCTCTATGTCACCCAGTTGTTGTCCATGTGTAGGCTTGAAAATCCGTCACACGTGCGGGGGCGTGTTGAGTGTTGTCCCATATCAGTGAGGGACAAGGTTTGTTATGTGCTTATATGGTATTGGGCTACTACCCATATTACCAATTGATTTTATGCTAGAACCTCAATTTCATTAGTGTGGAAAAAAAAAATTTTGAAAAGTTTCTTACTTTTCCTTGCTTTGCCTATATTTTCAACATTTATGGGACCATTCGTGTTTAGGATTTGGTATGCCTATATATTCAAACATTCATGGGACCATTCTGCTTTGCCTATATTTTCTTGCGTTAACCAATTTTGAGTCAAGGTTAACATGTTTTTGCACAAAACTAACTAAGAACACACTCGAGCTGCATACTTACATTGTCAAATTATCGAATTTGATGCCGCATAATTATACAAAAGTATGCGTTTATCGCTCCTTAATTTAGATTAACAGTGCATTTCCTCTTTTACATTTAAATTTGAACCTCCATTCTTATCTCTATAATTTATATGAGTTTAATATAAATTATTTTATCTTTTGTTAAAAAACCCACTTCATAAATAAGTAGATGCGATATGTTTAAACGCAAATCTGTAACAAAAACAACGGAAAAGAACAAGTACAGATGTTTATGGAAGCAAAGGTCTCGAAAACATACGTACTCCACAAAATCTAGCACGAGAGTATTGAGCCTAGATAATATAACCTCCACCCCAATACTAATTTATAATTGATTTATTTTGTGGTTTAGCTAAAATCGCCAATTCTCATTATCATTGTACAAATAAATAAATAAAGAGTAAATTTTAGTAATAGTACCTCAACTTTAATCAAATTGGTTAAAGTTGAGGGATTATTGCTCCAATTGGGTTAGAGTTGAGGGATCATTTCATCAATTGGATTAAAGGTAAGGGATCAATGGTAATGAATTTTTTGTTGAGAGACCATAGCTGCACGTTTTGATGGGTTGAGGGACCAATGGTAATGTATTTGTAGTTGAGGGACCATTGCTCCAATTCAGTTAAAGTTAAGGAATCATTGCTACAATTTACTCATTAATAAAACAAAGGCAAGAAAGGATTTGAAATATTACAGAAGAATTGTTATTAGCATTTAAAAAAAAAAAAATTATTATACGCTCATGTAACGAAGTTATCAAGAATGAATTGAGTGCACGATGACTTTATTTCGCTAATAACAAATTCGTAAAGTGGATCGCATTATTAATATTGCTTTTGGAAAGAATTTCTGTTGTCTGCATCTTCTACATATATAAAGTCAAAAGGAAAAACAAGTGAAACATTTAATATTTCAAAATTGCCCCTTTTATTACAGGTTATATAAAAGTGAAAAAAGTAGGGACATGAATTGATGGTAAAACCAGGCAAAGGAGAGAAAGTGGAGTTAAAAACTAGAACATGCTTAGAGAAAGAAACTGTATTTGAAGCATCCGTTTGGTTGCCCAGCCAACAAAAAAAAAAAACAAAAAAAAACCACAATTAAATATGCAAACAACGGAAATTTGAAGCATGAAGTGTGAACCAATAGATGGAAATGTGACACTGATGTTAGCAAACTTTATGGTCTTCAATCTTGATAATTTATGCGCACATTAGAATCCATACTTCATATTTCACTTGCATTTGTTGATCTCTTGGCACATCTATACTAAATTGTTTGGTATTAGCCGTTTTGTTTGATTTATATTTCAATTTTGTAAGTAGCAAGAGTATCTTAGTAAATGAAAATATCAAAAATAAAATAAACATTTGTAAACAGGGCCAAGCGCATGTAATTATAAATTTGTAGGTCACACGTAGCACACCTGATTAAAGGCCTCTAATCCATGTACCATGGTTAGCACGCCTGATTAAATGCCTCTAATCCATGCACCAATTGTTAACAATGATAAATAACTAACACAACACATTTTAGGGGCAGGTAACGCTTATGATTGAAAAAATGTCTAATGCGCATGCAGAGATGCTAGTTTAAAGTAAATAAAGAAGATTGTACATACGCAAATATGGGATAAACTAGGGATGGATACGGGTCAAGTCAGACTCAAAATTGAAGCAGATGGACCGACCCCATTTGTAAATGAAATGTGGCGGGGCAGGGCGGGTCTTGTTAGCTGAGAAATGAAATCGAACTTAACTTGGCTCGTTTGAAACGAACCGATTCCTACAGGTCCACAGGTTTTTTTTTTATATATAATTTTTTTGTTAATAAACTATGATTGTTGTGCTTGAAGTAAAAGCTGGTGTGCTTGAACAAAATACCTGTTGTGCTACAAGTAAAAGCACAATAAATTAAAGTGGACTTTTCAATTTTCAAAATATAATTATCATTGCGTGGTGTTATTGGAACTCACAATCAAAACAATTATAATTGGGTGATGTTATTGGAACTCACAATCAAAATATAATCATCATTCATTTTTCTCTCTTCGTGGCCAAAGGACTAATTTTGATCAAGTATTTGAAGTTGGGAAACTGAAAATTGTTCTTGGCAAAGGCTGTTAAGATTACTTCATGACTAGGGAGACGACTTGATAATTTTTTGGTTAATAATGCAGCGGACCACACACGGCAAAATAAAGTAGTTCGCAGAGTTTGGAAAAACACAGCAAAAAGAAAGAAATTTTAACAAAAAATTTTCGATACTGTTTATTTTAACGAAAAATCATATTTTTACATTAAAATATTAATCTTAATACTATTTATTTTACCTTTTATTTTATCTTTTATCTTTAAAACTCAAAATTTTCATATTTTTTCTTAAAAAGAATCACGCAATATTTTTAGATCTCATATCACAAGGCCCCCACCATCCTCTTGTCACATGGCATCGTCTTGTGAGATTACTTCACGACTGATGAGTGGTGAGACGACTTGATATTTTTCTTGGTCAACAATGCAGTGGACCACACACGGCAAACATAAAGTAGAAATTGGTGGAGGTTGGAAAAATAGTAGAAAAATCATGCAATATATTTGGATTTTTCCATATGATATTATCACATGGGCCCCACCATTCTCTTGTCACCACCCTCTTGGCTCGAATTGTCACCATCCTCCACCATCCTCTTATCATTATTCTACTCTAATTCCAAAACATCTACACGTAAAAAAATATAAAAAGATCAATTGCCACACCACGATAAAACATTCAATATCTCAAAATTGCCCTTTTTATTACAGATTATAAAAAAAAATAAAAAAGTAAGGACATGATGGTAAAACGTGGCAAGGAGAGAAAGTGGAGGAAAGAAACTAGAACGTGCTTAAAGAAATAAAAGTATATTTGATGCAGTTGTCGTTGTAATATCTCATTCCAATATCACTTCTCCCTCGCGCTCCAACTTCTCCCGTTCCCTGCTTTCCTCCAGTCTCTATATGGTCTTACTTTTCCATGCAAAAACGGGATCTTTACCTTCACCAAAATGGTCAATCTCAAGGTGCTGCAGAGAACGATCCCTTCATAAAAAATGTTCTGATTACGGCCGCCTACATCACCTTCTACGAACTCAACATTGAGAACAATCAATGGGTTCGTTTTCCAAATTATAACTTCCAGTTCTCCGTTTGGTTGCCCGTAAAAGAAAAAGAAAAAAAAATCACAATTAAATCTACGAACAAGGGAAATTTGAAATATGAAATGCGAACAAATAGGTGGAAATGTGACACTGATGTTGGCAAACTTTATGGTCTTCAATCTTGATAATGCATACATTGGAATCCATACTTCATATTTCACTTGTATTGGTTGATCTTTTGGCACATCTATACTGAATTGTTTGGTATTAGCCGTTTTGTTTAATTCATATTTCAATTTTGTAAGTAGCAAGAGTATCTTAGTAAATGAAAATATCAAGAATAAAATAAAAATTGTAAATAGTGCCAAGTGCATGTAATTATAAATTTGTAAGTCATGCGTAGTGCGCCTGATTAAAGGCCTCTAATCCATGTACCATTGTTAGCATGCTTGATTAAATGCCTCTAATCCATGTACCAATTGTTAACAATGATAAATAACTAACGCAACACATTTTAGGGGCGGGTAACGCCTGTGATTAAAAAAAATGCCTAACGCTCATGCAGAGAAGCTAGTTTAGAGTAAATAAAGAAGACTGTATGTATGCAAATGTGGGATAAACTAGGGGTGGATACCGGCCAAGCCAGACTCAAAATTGAAGTAGACGGACCGGACCCATTTGTAAATGAAATGTGGCAAGGCAGGGCGGGTCTTGTTAGCGAGAAATGAACCAAACTTAACCTAACTCGTTTGAAATGAACCGATTCCTACAAGTTCACGGGTCATTTTTTTTATATATATTTTTTATTAATAAACTATGACCGTTGTGCTTGAACAAAATAGCAGTTGTGCTTGAACAAAATAGTTGTTGTGCTACAAGTAAAGCACAATAAATTATAGCGGAGTAGCCTACCATCACTTTTCAATTTTCGTAAGTTCCAAGTGAGCCGAAGGCAAAGGCTAACAGTCAGCCAAAATGCCCAACTGA